CTATATACGTGTGAGTATATGAACGCATCACGGACACACAAACTACAGAACCCTATATACGTGTGAGTATATGAACGCAACACACACATACGCTACCTGAATCCTATATACGTGTGAGTATATGAACGCAACACACACATACGCTACCTGAAGCATGGACATTGGATGTGGAAGTTCCTCTCCTTGATAAATTTTAATGTAAGCCTAAAATGAAAGAAACAGAAGGTTTCATTATATCGGTGGCAATGCACTTTGGCTCTATAGTCCCAAAGAAAGAAAGTCATTAAGTATAGGAGTAATTTACACCATTAAGAGGAAATGACAGGCTTCAAAATATGCACACGATTTTTACATTCCAATTAAATTTACCCTATTCAAAAATGCATATGTTGCTAAATAATATCCTAGAGAAATGCTTCTGGATATAATTCTCACATCTCATATTTAAAGGATCCCTCCCCACCAAGTATAAATGTGTGTGTAAATGTAAATGTGTGTGTAAATGTCATCTACTTTATCAAAAGCCACCATCTGGCTTCCCTTCAATATTTCAAATAAATGCGTTAGAAAGTACTTTTTTAACTCAGTTTTTGCTCTAACTTCAATGATTATGTTTCAGCTCAAAGAAAAGAATAAAAACATTCTAACGAGTGGTCTAAGAAGCAGAGGAGGGTGCAGCTTACAGTAGGCCCAGAGAAGGCTTCCGGGTCAGCTTTCTATTGGCTCAACATTAATTAGCTTAATAAAGACAAGATGAAAGTGATCAATCAGCAAGTTCCCATTAGGTGCGCACAATTACACTCTTACTTATAATGTACTCCACCCACCCCTTCCACCTATCTATAACTATGAATACAAGCTTTTACCATGTTCATGCTCTGCCACATACAATTAGTCCAAAGCTATAAATACTAAAGAGAAAAAGTAGAAATAAAACAAACTACTGTATATACTTGAGTATAAGCCGACATAAATATCAGCTGAGGCACCTAATTTTAACCACAAAAACTGCTCTAAAAATGTACTGAAAAAACTTGCCTTGTACTCGAGTATATACAGTATGTATAATTCACTTTAACCATTAACAAGCATTGGATTAAGTTCTCAACTCTCTTTATGACAAATGGTAGAGTGGTATTATATGATCAGTGGCTCTTCTTGCCATACCAAAACTGTAGAAAAATCCTACTAACCACAAAAATGACTGTGTACATGACGCAAATAGTCTGCTGTAATATTAAAGTATTGACAAATCTAAGTCCAAGCAAAAAACTATAGATTATTCTTACTTTAAGATGAAGGTAAGAAAATTTTTGTACATGCAGATGAAATAGCTGCAGGTTACTCTTCAAACTTAAATTAGCCATTTAAGTTTAGTGTGCCTACCTTAAAGTATTCTACAAGAGCTCTACAAGAGACTTTAACTCCATTTATCTCTTTTTCTACCAAATTTTCAGGGGCAAGCAGTAATGGAACCAGATTTTGAAGTTCTCGTTTAAAATCTTCATCAATATCTAGTGGACAAAAAATTAGTCTAAGTATTAGTCAACAACAGCAACAACAAAAGGACGGAATTTCTCGCTGATGAGAGTACAGAACATCTATTTCAAGAAATAGCAGCTCACTGTACCTATTGCTTTAAGCAGATACGTACAAAAATCCAAACATGCTATATTTCCTAGGAAAAACTAAAATAATCTCCCCTAAAGCTTACAAAGCCAAATCTTTCATACCCTAATAATTCTCCAAGCTCAAGAAAATATATGAAACAAACTGTGAACTCCCAAAGCAAATTTTATGTTCATAGCTACAATATTCTTTACAAAAAGGAAAGCAATTCATGAGATTGTATTTTACCTCAAGATTTTATTTTCTTTCCATATAGTAGTTTCACCAATCCTTAAGCTTTCTGCCATCATGATCAAAATATTCCTAAAATATACACTCACAACAAAAATTATACTATCCACCTGAAGTAGAAATATGTAAATCTGATTGTACCAACACATTAAATTGCTAATCATTTTGGGGTTTTTTTTAATGGAAAACAATGAAGTTCACTCAAACTATAAAACTGATGGTTAAATTGTATGATCAGTATGTGGCATTTATTCTATTTATGTAGAACTGAAAGAAAACTTCACATTTCTATTTTCCATTTCAAAGCAAGATTATGAAGCGAAGGCCAAAAATCTTTACAAATCAAAACCCAATAGGCTAGGACTGAAATATTAAAGCAATCTACACACCGCTGTGCCATTAAGAACACTGGTGCTTTAACAGTCTGAAACTAAGTGAAACATTGACAAGAACCGGTCTCAGCCTTAATACCTTTTAGAATACCAGTGCTGTGTGGCAGGCTGCATTGTGAAGTAGGTTAACAACTCAGAGGCAGCAGCAATAAAAAAAACTAGCAAAATAACAACAGAAAGATAATGCAGAGCTCTACAGTCACCTCATTAACAATACTTCCAAATGTCTGCCAGGAGAAGATGGAAAAATAAAATAAATATGCATGAAAAAGACTTTCAGCCTCTCAAATGTAAGTTCTGAATGTAACAAGTGTGAGTCCCCACCTTTTAAACTGCCATCAAAAGTACGGCTGGTTGCAACCTCACGACCAGGATGCGGCAAAAGGAAGCACTGGAGGTTCGAGAAGCAACTGTGAATGTGCTTCCTCACGTTCTGCAGCTCCTCGTGCTGATTCTGCTTTACCTGAAGGCAGATAAAGGGGAAGATGCAAACACAAGGGGGAAACATCAGACTTAGCACACACACCCACACCAGCACATATACTTCACTCAGGTGCAACTCAAGTACCTTCTCTGATAACAGATTGGCAATAAATAAATGTTGACCAGAAAACATTTATTTATTGCCAATTTCTTGTTGTAATTTTTTATCTTGGGTCATGGTTAAGTGCCATCAAGTGGCTTCCGACTCGTAGCAGCCCTTGGTACAAGAGAAGGAAGCAAGCAAGGCCCTGTGTGATCCTCCGTCCCTGTTGTTGGAGCCCACTATTGTAGCCATTGTGTCAGTCCATCTCCTTGAGGGTCTGTCTTCCTCTTTTTCGCTGACCTCTGTTATCAAGAACAATGTCCTTCTCCAGTCCCAGATCTAGTCCCTCTGAATAGCAAGTCCAAGGTTCGTGAGGTGAAGTCTTGCCATCTTTGCGTCTATGGAACATTCGGGTTGTATTAAATCAAGACAGGTTTGTTCACCCTTCTGACGGTCTAGTAATTTCTGTATTCTTCCTCAGCATCACAATTCAAACGGAGCACTTCTTCTCTACACCTCCGTGTTCACTGTCCAGCTTTCACACACATGAGGCCACTGACCGTACACCTTAATCCTCAAAGTGACACCTTGGCTCTTTAATATTTAAAATCGATCTGTTGCAGCAGACATGCTTAATGCAACACATCATTTGACTTTTTGGTTGTTCCTTCCATGAGTAAGGATTGTGGATCCAAATAAAATGAAATCCTTCAGACCCCATTTTTATTAAACCAGAAAAGATGTTTTTCTTAAGTGAGCTCTTTGGGAAACCAAAATATACAAGTAATAATTAACTGTAATATAATATCTATCATTTGAATAACAAGTTAAGTAACAAGTGGTGGTAGCTTACAAGCCAGTAAATACATTTAGAATTTGCACTGGACAGGAAAACAAAAGGACCAATAAGCTTACAAACAAAAAGATTATGCAGTGCAGTACAAATAATATAGCTCTTCTAGCCACAGTCTTTTTAGCTCCCGCCAAATGGTTGAGAACCCAACCTAATGCCATTGATTCGATTCTAACTCACACCCTATTTAGGGTTTCTGAGGCTGAAAAAAAATTTTTTTCCTAATCATTTTATTGGGGGCTCATACAATTCTTATCACAATCCATCCATCCATCCATTGTGTCAAGGCTGAAATTTTTATGGGAGAAGACAGCCTCGTCTTCCCCTTTCTAGCAACTGGAGGATTTGAGCAGCTGACTTTGTGGTTAGTAGTACAATACTTACCAGACAGTGCCACGATGGCATCTAATGGTTGGGTAGAGACCAACAGTCTACTAGAAATCGGGGCAGAGATGAGTGTATACAGATGGCAGCCTCTGCATGCTGGCTACAAAGGTTAGGTTCAGTTTGTGTAAATTCATCAAGTTGTACACTTAAGAACTAAGCAATTTTACTTATGTATTTATCATTTTTTATTATCATAAAGTAAAAAAACCATCAACAATAAATAGTAACGGGAACCTTTAATATACCACTCTCAAGGAAAGACAGAATGTCAAGAAAAAAACTCAAGGACACAAGAAAGCTCAATAACACAATCAATTAAAACAATATCAGAGCCCTATACAGAATACATTCTTCTCCAATACACACAGAAGATTCTCAAGAAAAAAAACACATACTAGGCCATAAATCATGGTTCAACAAATTCAGAAAAATTGGATCCTACAATCAATCTCAAAGCTTTAAAATTAGAAATCAACAGTGAAATGAACAGAAACACAAACACATGTAGGTTGAACAACATAATACTCAAAAATGACTAGGTAATAAAGCAACTAAAGGATGGAATTTAAAACTCCCTTGAGACAAATGAAAATAACACAACATATCAAAACCTTTGGAGGAAGGGAGGGAGGGAGGGAGGGAGGGAGGGAAGGAAGGAAACCTTTGGGACACAGTGAAAGCAATAATTTATAGCCATCAAAAACGCACATGCAAAAGGAGGAGAAGCCTAAAACGAATAGTCTAACACACACCTCCAAGAACTGGAACAAGGACAACACCACAATCCCTCCAAAAATGGAAGGAAAGAGATCATGAGGGTGAAGGCAGAAATAAACAATATGGAGGAAGGGAAAAAAACCACAACAGTGGAAAAAAATCAACAAGCTGGTTCTTTGAAAAGATTTACCAAAACCTTCATATCTTAAAAGTGCCTAATTCTGAATGCCAAATCCCTGATGTAATTTGTATTAAATTTCTTCTGAATCCAGGAGAGAAAACCCTGATGATCAAAATTACCTCCAGTAACAGGGTCTAGAAATGCCTTTCATAGGAGCCCAGGGGTAGGTAACACAATGGGCTACTAACCACAAGGTCAGCAGTTTCAAAGCACCAGCCACTCTGAGGGAGAAAGCGGCAATGAGCAGTTAGACACTGGAAATGGAGTCTCCTCAGGGGAGTGGCCTGCTTCCAATATGGGTAAGCTGG